AGATGATGGGAATAGACAGTTATGCTTTCTTAATTTTATCACCGTGGCAGACTCTGTCAACAATGTAATTATTTCCCTAGCTACGCACCCCCGCTAACTTTTATTTTAGGCAAGATAATAACGCATAATCATCACTTCTATATGCTTTCAACTTCGCTTTGAGTCGCGACGCGAGTATTCCTTATGAATTAGCAATCGCATTGGCAATTAAATATACTCTTAGCATGCCCACATCGCATGAGCCATTACTAGTTTCTTTTTTTTTTCTCTAACTAAATGAAGAATAACAGATCATGAAAAGAAGAACATGTCATGTAACATGTCATGTAACATGTCATGTAACATGTCATGTAATATGTCATGTAACATGTCATGTAACATGTCATGTAAGTGTCACAGGCAGCAGCTATGTACCCATTTCACCCCGGCCCCTATACTGACCCCTGCACTGTCTCCATGCACCCACTCCCACTATTTTAAGAAGAAGCGACCACTGCCTTTTGTTTTGATGAGGGCATTTTAGACTGAAGGTAAGACTGTACCACTGAACTATAACAATATAGAAAAATCGATCGCCGTACTTGGCTGTCTTGTACCGAAGATGTAGCCTCACGTATTCGATATGCTGTTGGCAATAGTGATTGCAATTGTAGGGTAGCATCAGTACGGTCAAGTCACCGTGGTGTTTTAAAAGTATGCCTATCAACTGTAATTGGATAAAATAATGTTTGACTGATGTTCGTGTGTGTTTCATTATAGAAAATTTAAAGTCTACCCAGCTAACCAGTTGACGTTGTGGCAACGTTGTCACAACGTTTCACTTACGTTGTGGCAACGTAAATTTGTAGACTCCCCTGAACGTGGCCACAACGTTGTGGAATAACGTTGTAATGTAACATTCTTGCAACCATGTGTACACGTTTAAATATAATGTCAAGTATGCACTTGGCTGAATACACTGCATGCTTATATTGTACACTTGTTCATTCTAATAATACGACCATGCATTCAATCACAAACTGGTTATATTGCTATGAGAGAGGTAGCAGGTAATTGTAGTAAGTGACTAAGTTTTGTTATTATAAGACTAACACTTGATGGGTGTCAAACTTAAAATCTATGTAAGCTGCAGTCGGCTTGACAATAGTGTAAGACAATAACCATATGCTACAGTTGTGACACGTGTGCAACTACGGGGATCGAGTGTGAATTCACAAGAATATAATTCAAATTTTGACTTGCTCTATTAGAGTATTGGAAATTTGGAATATACACATATTTACATGTACATATTTACATATGTCAGAAAACAGCAGCTCTGATCACCTACTAATCAACATGTATGTAATACTGCCAGGAAAGCAACCGTTGAGTCTTGCTGATCTATTATAATAGCCTTCGTCGTTATGCATCTTGCTGGACGCACTTTCGAAGCTACGCCAAAATATTTCAACTCTCTCTTTGACTGTAGTGATCTCGTAAACGGTTCCTTTGAACCATTTATAACATATTTCTATAACATATTTCATGATGGATCACCCTTTAGTCAACTAATGTTTTATTCAATTATACATCTGATTTGATATATGCACCATATTTATATTACTTCAGATGCATCACTTTATTTTATTTATTTCATTATTTGATCCTGCTGTTTAAGAGCAAGACAGAGCAACAAAACCACATGATACATTATGGTCCGACCACGAGGAGAAGCATTTTGATCGAACTGATAGATATATAGATAATAGATAGATAGGTAGATTATAGCAACCTATATTACACTTATATTATATTTTATTGAAACATATATGTTATGAACAATATGTCACTATGCCAATGACGACTCACGCACGTATTGTGAAACACTCGTTTACCGGTGCACACCAGCGCTTGGTGTGATATGGGTCTATACCTGTCACCAGCTTCAGTTGAAGCAAAGATACGTTTTGTCCCCTTCAGTTCTAGTCTTCGCTTTTCGTTTTTTCTCGGCTACTCTCCTACCTTTCCCCTCACCCACTTGTGTAGCGTCACGCACTACGCTACATTTTAGGTAGTTAGATAGAGTGATGGATAGGTAGATGTACGGATAAAACTTAAACAATTCGATCAATCCAGCACGTTGCCAAACGGTCCAGGGAGCACACGATCGACCTAACAATACCCCATAAAAACTTTACACCTACTTCCCGCGTCACTTCGCACCTAGTTTCCACGCCACGCGGTGTGAAATACTGGTTAAACAACTGACGACTTGCGTCCAGGTCGTGGACGTGCTAATTGATTGCTAACGAGCCAAACTGATCCTGTCTGCTTTTTGTTGTTAAACAAATTCGTGCACGATGACCTTCCTGCGTTGTTTACGTCACTGCCAATTCCATGGTAGTCTATTCCAGTGGTATTGTATATAAATATGAGTGTGTGGTATTTACTTAGGTATTCAATTTGATGTACTTTTTATCTGTCTATATTTTGTAGCATTTTGGTGGGAATTGTCTTTTCGTATGCGTAGGGCATAACTTTGCAGAATATGTTTAGTCTATCAGCATAAATAATATATAAACATAATATTAAATTTAAATGTTTATTTTAAACCATTAATCACCCATTACAGACAATCGTTGTCCAAAGACTGTTAAACAAGTCGCAATGGATCGATGAAGAATGATTAACGTGAGTGCAAATAAAAAACAGTGGAATTCTTGACTACTACGCAAGAGCGCTGGAGGAGAGGGAGATAGGGCAGGAAGGAAGAAGAAAGAGAGAGGGAGATGGCGAGATAGATGGAGGGGAGGATGATGGGCAGGGGAAGTAGAGAGGGAAAGGGAGAAGCATAGCTGGCTGGCTTCCATAAATGGCTGGCTGGCTGGCTGGCTTGCAAAGCTGGCTGGCTGGCTTGCAGGCTTCCCAGTTTGGCCACCTTCATTCCATTGCGCGGATACTTTGCTCGAAGGAGCGCGCCAACACACGATACCCGGCAGTGGTCAGGTGCAGCCCATATCGGTATAAAGCAGCGTCAGTGTTGTTTTGCAGTCTCACGGCACCACGATTAAGGAATAGGTGGTTCGCTCCCATAAACCTCATCCTATGTTTCTTGGTTAACCGTCGCAATTCCGCGTTGACGCTTGCAACGCGTGCGCCGGTCGTGACGTCATCTCTGGGACGTGGCAAGATGGTAACGAACGTTTCCCTTTCACTTTTCCATGCATACTTGCTATTTGTAGCAGAACTTTATTGATGTTCTCTGCGATCTTGGAATCTCTATTCCTCTCAATGTCATTAGTGCCAACCATAACAAATATGTGATCGTACATGACGAAGGTTTCCTTGCTTCGATGCAGGATTGTACCTGATTTAGCTCCGGGATGGAAATCAACACGCTGAAAGTGCGCCAAGCAACATGGCGCGCGTGCGCACTCAAGCGGCACTCGACGGCGATAACACTCTCTGTGTATTGTGAATAGGGGTAATCCTTCTAAATTGTTATAGTTTAGTAGACTGTACCCGAAATTCATCTGAAATCATAAATGTCATTGATTTGTAAGATTTTATGTAATTGCCGTCATTGATATATCAAAAGACCTTATAAAGGTTATACTTAATGCACTTTCTATCTATACTTCACCTGCTGAATGCCTGAAAATGACAGTAAAGAATACCCAGTTGTTGAGTACTTACATAATTATATTAACTGCATATAGAGTACTTATACAGTAAACAGTGTGCACAGTATACACGCAGTTGACAGTGCTTCACCAGCACTCTCAAATGTACAACTGACTCGCTGACAATCGAGAAACACCAGCTAACGCCTGAGATCAACGGCGAAGCCGAAACCTACCGGCATTGCACAGTGCCAGAGGACGTACACGCGCGCTATCGCAGAACATGCAACATGAAATGCAGAATCCCAACATACATTGCGCGTTACGATAACAACCGCCATGTTTTATTATTATAACATACTTTTAACATTTTACTTGCTTTGAGATATTAGTTTTTAGTGTAGACTTCTAAATATGCTTAGTACACCCTCAGGGTGATAAACTAACAGCGAGGCAAGTTTGGGGGTCAATAAATGGCGGAATGCATAGACAAAGTTCGTTTTTTTGTAGTATAAATAGAATATCTCAGGTTTACAAAATTTTGTTGAAATTAGCCATCTACCTAAGCACATATTCACGAGTCGTTTGAAAAATAGCAAATGTCTACGACAAATGCCTGACTTTCTTAATTATCACGTGTCCAGATTCCTGAACTTTCATATACTGTAGCATGCCAAAATAAGCACTATTTTGTGTTATTAAAACATTTAAAGTAGAGACCACATACTTGCGAGTATTTTGACAATGTAAAATGTCTATTCTATTACCTTCATATAAGGATCCCATGATTTATTTATTTATTAAATCCTTTATCAATTTAATGACGGTACATTGGTAAAATATACAACATGCGTCTCCGTCCCTGAACATTTCTACGCAACGTTTTACGTGCGGTAGTGCACCTCGTAACCCAGAATGTTACTAGAACGTATTCACGAACGCTATTTACGTAACCAAACCGACACATTTCCGGAACATATAGCTACGCAACATTTCACGTGCGGTAGTGTGCCACGTTCTAGGAATCTTAATTGTTACATAATGATACCGTTCTCAAAATGACTTTGATTGTAATGATAGTGTGCCACGTTCCTCGAACGATCACGATTGTATTTATGCAATCGAACGACAACATCCCAGGAACCTTACGGGAACGTTACTTGTTAGCCGGACGCCCCAATTATTATACTGAATCATTATATTATAATGATGAGGTAGGGCCGGGGGTCCAGCATGGGAACCCAAACGGCTATAATATGACCAACGATTCTGTAACAGCAGCATGCTTGATTTTTCTAGAACGTGGCAAAATATATTTTAGTTGATTTAAAATAAAGTGTGCGTAAAGAAATATATAGTGAAAACGAATTGCAATACTATAGTATTTATTCTGTGAAAAATCTGTAGATGGTATAATACGTCCCCTAACAACATTCTGATGGGCATTTACCGAGTCGTACTCTTTTTCATAGGTACACATGCATTACTTTTATACAACTAAATAAAATAAAAAACTGGTTTAAAGCATTATTGGTGTTGAAACAAATGTGAATTAATGATGTATAGGTATACAGAAAGATAGACAATTTGTTTTCACGTCTGTTAACATGACCGCGCAGTTATTTAATGAGCGTGACGACTCCGGTTCATTATGACTCGTTCTGTCACATCATAAATATGTTCTAGAATGTTCAACGACACTGAAATAGGAAGAGAACGGAAACATGTAACACAACAATAACACAACTCCACATCCCCCCAGTTTGTAGCTTTTAAGCTGCAAACTCGTGTCCACTGTCCAGTCTCTGGAACATATTCTCTCGGCGCTCTAGCGTTCCGCTGCGATCGACGGGTAACTGGAGGTGGATCGGCGACATTCGGCGGGGTGCTGCGCTCTATTCGACGAGGTGTCGGAGGCGGATGTGTCGGAATCGGGTCAACGACGTCAGGAGGCGCATCCTGCTCTTGTCTACTCAGCGCTAGAGGCGGTTCGCCGTGTTTTGGCCGACGGAGCGCTGGAGGCGGTTCGCCATGCTCAGGTCGACGAGGTGATAGAGGCACGTCGACGTGCTCTGGTCGACGTGATGCTGGCAGCGACGATGGCACTGTCAGAAGAGGGATGAGATGCGGGTCGTGATCTGTGGGTGGCATGCAGTGTAGCATCCTGGAAGTCTTGATCTTTGACTGTCTCCATGACGGGGCGAAAACGACGTAGGAACTTCCTGTTGCGGGTGGTGAGGCGGCCTGATCCGGCGACTTTGATGACGCACTGGTCGTGGTCGCCCTTCTCAACAACAACGCCCGTTTTGTCCCATCGCATCGGTGAATTCCCCATTTGATTTTGAACAAACACCCGGTCTCAAATCTAGAGCGGTGGGAGATTCCGGGACCGGGCGTTCAATGCGTCGGACTGACTAACAAATCGGTCACGTAGGGCGGTTTCCTTGGCCGCCCAAGCTTCCCTCCACGACGGATGGACCTCTGACGTGAGGTGGACGGTGTCGCCAAGCTTCTGGAGACGCTTTGCAAACGACAGGGTGTCGCGAAGAGGTCTCCCAAACACGATCTCCGCTGGTGACTTGCCACAGTCTGGGTCGGGTGTGTTCCTGAGCTGCCAGATGGCTCGGAGGAAGCGGTCGCTGTCCAAGAGGCCCGCCGAATCAGTGTCCGGCTTGAGGAGACGCTTGGTTGCCTTGGCGGTTATTTCCGCTCTGCCATTCGACTGCGGGTGGTAGGCGGATGATATCCGGTGCTTAATACCCCAACGTCGTAGGAAGTCTCCAGTGGTCGAGGCAGCGAACTCTGGTCCTCCATCAGTTGACAGCTCTTCTGGAAGTCCGGCGATAACCATGAAGTTCCCGAGGCGGTCCACCAGCCCTTTGGCACTGGCTTGCTTCGAGCCGAATGGCGTGGCGAAGATCTCGGCCCATCCCGAGAGGCGGTCGGCAATGACGAGATAATGGCAACCGGCGAAATTGAAGTAATCCGCCACCACGGCTTCGAAAGGAACCGAAGGCGGGTGCGCCGGCGTCGACGGGAGACTTGCTTGCGACGGGGCGTTTCTGTTGCAGTCGTCGCATTTTGCCCTAGCGTTACTGATGTCGAGCGTTATCCCTGGCCAAAAGACAATCGCCCTGGCGGCAGCTACATCGATGACTGGCATTCGTGTACAGCATGAAGGTTGTCGGGGACTTGGCGGCGAAGTGCTGGCGAAACGACGACGCGATCATCGAACATCACTACGCCATGCGAGAAGTAGAGGGACTCACGGTAGCGCCAGAATTGTGCGACGTGTGGGAGGTCCTTGTGCTCGATGGAAAATCCGGCGATGATTATGTCGACGAGGGACTTCATGGAGGCGTCACTCTTGGTGGCAGCGGTAATGGGTTCCATGACAGCGATGTGACGTCCTGTGCTTCATGGCGGATGGCAGCGAAAGTCGCCTGCTCGGTGCTATCTTTGATTTGGAGGCCAATTAAGGATGCAGCTAGCACGGTGAAGTCGATGTGTCCGGGCTCGTCCCACCAGGCGTTTATTGGGGTGACCGGCGAAGGGTGACGCGATGCTGCATCGGCAGCGAGGTTGGTCTTCCCAGGTAAGTGTTCAATCTTGAAGTACCATGGCAGAGTTCTTTGCTTCATGCGAAAGAAGCGCGTGTTGGGAATCTCGTCGAGGGTGCGGTCACCGAGTATCTTCACCAGCGGCTTGTGGTCGGTAACTAACGGAGCTTGAGGTCATTGCAGCACTGCGTAAAGAAACGGGTTTGTTTAAGGCCCCAGGCGACTGCAAGGGCTTCGCCTTCCACCGGCGCGTAGCGCTGCTCCGCAGAAGAGAGGAAGCGGGAGCCTGCCAAAGTAATCTTCCAGCCGTCAGGGCAGCATCCAGGCAAACCGCTCGTACAGTCGCAGTGCTGCTGTAGCAGGAAGAAGCCGATGCCACGATTGGAGAAGTCTGGTCTCAGGCACGTCCTCTTGGTCGCAGATAGTCGAAGATCTCCACACTGCGCTTGATGGCTTCTATGATGCTGATCTTGGAGGCCTCGAACGCCTCGTCAAGTTCAGGAGTCCAGACAAACTTCTGCTTGGGACTGAGATAAAGGCGGAACGGTGCTATGACGTCGCGTAGTTGGCTACTTGATTTGCAAGGCCGAACCAGCTCCTGATGTCAGTCGTGGACGATGATTTCGGAAAATGCCTGATAGCGTCGATGTATTTGGGGAGCGGTTCGATGGATGACTCGGAGATGCAAAACCCTGCAGGATAGGGCGTTCTCCTAATTATAAACACAGGTGTACTGAAAACAATTTATTACATAAATCTATGCTGAGATACCCCCTAACCATATTAAATGCATATTCATCACAAAATATAATCACTCTGGTGAGATATTGCGCGTGCGCTAACACACTAACGTAACCAGATTGTGTACTGACGGTTATATGCAGCGAGCACCTTACATGTTACATGCAATGTCTACTTCCCATTTCGTAAGAGAAGTCTACTGATGGGATGTTATTATATAAATCTATGCTAGAATACCTCTTCCTCATTTTAAATGCATATTTTTTGCAAAATATGATTCTTCTCTGGAAATATTACGCATGCGCGAAGAACGTCTTGGGCGTACAGTACAGACTTAAAAGACTGCATAATATAGCTTGCTGAGAGCGAGGTGTGGGAGCCTGAGGAAAGGCGGCAGGGAAGATAGCAGATGGCCGGTAGAAGAAGACGGAGGCTGGGCGGGAGACAAGGAAGGCAAACGAAAGGACGGGAGGGGATGACGTAGATGTTTTGCACCCTACAGCCTAGGGCGCTCTCATAATTATAAACACAGGCCTACTGATAACAATTTATTACATAAATCTATGCTTAGATACCCCCTAACCATATTAAATGCATATTCGTCACAAAATATATCTCCTCTGGTGAGAGATTGCGCATGCGCCAACATAATAACGTAGCCAGATTGAGTACTGACTGGTATTCGCAGCAGGGACCTTACATGCAAGGTCTTCTTCTTATTTCGTAAGAGAGGTCTACTGATGGGATGTTATTATATAAATCTATGCTAGAATACCTCCTCGTCATTTTAAATGCATATTTTTTGCAAAATATTATTTCTCTCTGGAGATATTACGCATGCGCGAGGAACGTCTTAGGCGCACAGTACAAATTTAAAAAAAACTGCATAATATAGCTTGCTGAGAGCTAGGGGTGGGAGCCTGAGAAAAGGCGGCAGAGAAGATAGCTGAGGGGCGATAGAAGAAGGAAGCTGAGCGAGGATGCGATCCCATATGGTTAAGGGGTATCTCAGCATTAGGACTGGATTCGAAAATGTAATGAGTGACATAAAAGCGGTAAATAACGACACATAAGTAAATATGGTAACTTTGTAGCTCAACTGCGTTTATTAATTTAAAGCAATAGTTTACAACAACGATACAAGATGGCGCCCATGAAGACGTCCCAGACGATCCCAATTATAATTTTTTTTAATAATAATAATAATAATAAAGACACATGATCGTTTAAAAAATGTGATAAAGATAACTCTCTAAACATTTTTCACGGAGTTTCGCAATTTCACGTCTTTTTTGTTCACACTGGCAAGCGGTAATAATCGTTGCTAGGGTAATGACGTCATTTCTTTGACTGTAGCGCTCACACGCGTGAGTGGCGGTGGAGCATAGAGGAACAATGACGCGCCCTCGTGCCTGTTATTGGGCCTGTTTTAAACGTTTTAGACTCGTTCAAACGGAGATTAAATACGCAAAGCAACGTCAATAGATGCAATAATAATGTTTATAGACGCATAATATGGATACGCGTACGCGCGCACGCTAGTACAATAATTACATGCAAGAATCCGGCTCTAGATAATTCAACGTTAGTCGATGTTGTATTCTATTTTTCTGTACGCGAAACCATTCGCATATATGTTCAATCACATAAACCCATGTTTACTTGAAGTTCATGCAGGCATACACGGATGAAAAATCCACAAAATGAACCTAAAATTAATAGCTGCTGGTAACTTCACAGTTTATTAGCGTGGTGTCTTTAGTCCGTTTATTTTTGGGGCGGTTTTACGAGGTTTTTTAGTCGTTCCAACGTATATAAAACACACAAAACAACGGTAATCGATATAAAAAATCTTGTTAATGAACGCATGATATAAGATACACACATGCACGCTAAGGTCGCTAACACAACACTTGCAATAATGTAATAACTGTAATAATGTAATAATGTAATAAATCTGGCCCCAGATAATTCAATGTTATTACTCGATAGTCTATTTTATCCTTCAGGGTAATTAAACATTAACAAATACTTCATCCCTTCGCCCCATATTTATTTGAAATTTATTGAAAGATGACCATCATGGTCTACCGTGCCAACCTAAGTATATACACATATGGTTTTTATTAAAATTGTACTTAAAGGAAACATACTCCGGAGTAGTTTGATATGAAAAATGACCATCCCAATGGCTGAACTTATTTATTATAAGGCGGTGAATCTTATAAGCGTCATACGGCGGTGAGGATTTTAAATGAAAAGCAAATAGCAAGGAGAAAAATCAATATATAAATATTAAAAAACGTCGGAAGTATGCAAAGAAATTTTATGATGAATGTAATTATGGTTATTATTGTATTATATATACAGTGGTTCTTGGCTGGCTTGCAGGCTTCCCAGTTTGGCCACCTTCATTCCATTGCGCGGATACTTTGCTCGAAGGAGCGCGCCAACACACGATACCCGGCAGTGGTCAGGTGCAGCCCATATCGGTATAAAGCAGCGTCAGTGTTGTTTTGCAGTTTCACGGCACCACGATTAAGGAATAGGTGGTTCGCTCCCATAAACCTCATTCTATGTTTCTTGGTTAACCGTCGCAATTCCGCGTTGACGCTTGCAACGCGTGCGCCGGTCGTGACGTCATCTCTGGGACGTGGCAAGATGGTAACGAACGTTTCCCTTTCACTTTTCCATGCATACTTGCTATTTGTAGCAGAACTTTATTGATGTTCTCTGCGATCTTGGAATCTCTATTCCTCTCAATGTCATTAGTGCCAACCATAACAAATATGTGATCGTACATGACGAAGGTTTCCTTGCTTCGATGCAGGATTGTACCTGATTTAGCTCCGGGATGGAAATCAACACGCTGAAAGTGCGCCAAGCAACATGGCGCGCGTGCGCACTCAAGCGGCACCCGACGGCGATAACACTCTCTGTGTATTGTGAATAGGGGTAATCCTTCTAAATTGTTATAGTTTAGTAGACTGTACCCGAAATTCATCTGAAATCATAAATGTCATTGATTTGTAAGATTTTATGTAATTGCCGTCATTGATATATCAAAAGACCTTATAAAGGTTATACTTAATGCACTTTCTATCTATACTTCACCTGCTGAATGCCTGAAAATGACAGTAAAGAATACCCAGTTGTTGAGTACTTACATAATTATATTAACTGCATATAGAGTACTTATACAGTAAACAGTGTGCACAGTATACACGCAGTTGACAGTGCTTCACCAGCACTCTCAAATGTACAACTGACTCGCTGACAATCGAGAAACACCAGCTAACGCCTGAGATCAACGGCGAAGCCGAAACCTACCGGCATTGCACAGTGCCAGAGGACGTACACGCGCGCTATCGCAGAACATGCAACATGAAATGCAGAATCCCAACATACATTGCGCGTTACGATAACAACCGCCATGTTTTATTATTATAACATACTTTTAACATTTTACTTGCTTTGAGATATTAGTTTTTAGTGTGGACTTCTAAATATGCTTAGTACACCCTCAGGGTGATAAACTAACAGCGAGGCAAGTTTGGGGGTCAATAAATGGCGGAATGCATAGACAAAGTTTTTTTTTTTGTAGTATAAATAGAATATCTCAGGTTTACAAAATTTTGTTGAAATTAGCCATCTACCTAAGCACATATTCACGAGTCGTTTGAAAAACAGCAAATGTCTACGACAAATGCCTGACTTTCTTAATTATCACGTGTCCAGATTCCTGAACTTTCATATACTGTAGCATGCCAAAATAAGCACTATTTTGTGTTATTAAAACATTTAAAGTAGAGACCACATACTTGCGAGTATTTTGACAATGTAAAATGTCTATTCTATTACC